AAGTTAAAAAACTCTCCATTATTAAAAAAAAAAAAAAGTAAAAAAAAAAAAAAGATAAAAACACTGGAGAGCAAGAAAGGCAAGAAATAGCCAGAGCTCTGATCCAACACCCAACCTAATCTTTCCATTAACCCATCTGCTCAGGTAACAACTTTTCTAATTTTTTTGACTATACATCATTTAATCCACACACTGATGAAGGACCGGAAAAAATAAAAACAAAAATAAAAGACTGAGTACTCAGTTTTTTTAAATAAGGATTAATCATCCTGAGAAGAAGTTCCGAAGATAAGAAAAACTTTAAGACTTTTAATATGTACAATCCCTAAATCAAATACTTAAGGAACTATCCTAAAAATTATCTTACTTCTTGCCAGTCATAGGTCTGGTCTCTTTTAAATAATGAATAGATAATCACTCTCTCAAGTGTGAATATGCTTGATAGTTTATTTTTAAAATCTCTCCCATCAGGCTATAAAAATGAACTTCTTAGCCTCGACGGTCATTAGAAGTATCTTTGGTTTCCAAGAACTACGCAGTAGATCGGAGATAAGAATGAGCAAATCATTTGGTAATACAAGTTATGTGTTAATTTTTTTCCTTAAAAAGGGAACGAAAAAGAAAAAATGTCACAACTCTTTGCACATGTATGTGCCCATTTATCTGGGAGTGAGTGAAGACAAAAAGAACCTTTTAAAATACCACAATTATAGCAGAATCCTCTAAATCAGCTTTCAGTCACCGACTGGCAATGAAATCCAAGTTTAAATAAACTTTCAGAACTATGCTTTTGGATATTTTAATGCAAAGTAACAAATGCAGAATTAAGTTGGCTATCAATCAGACACAAAAATATTGTATCACCTTAACAAGTTTAAAAAGCAGCATGGAAATTTTAAGGCACGCATGACAACTGTGCAGAAAAATCAACATTTACCATGGACTTGTCTATAACACATTCTATTAATATCAGAGATCCTTGACTAGATCTTTGGCTTCTAATTTACTAAGTGCCAGACCTATCATCTTTCCAAATACCCAACAAAAAGTGACAATTCCAACCCAAGTAAAGTACTACCCCAAAAAGAGAAGAGAAAAATATTAAAATATAAACCTGTTGGTTGCCATGAAGTAAGAAGTTTGTGCTAAGTCCTTGCTTGCTAAAAAAAAAAAGGGGGGGGGGGAATTATTAGTTTCATTCATTCCCAATAATTATTTAGTAAGCATTTAATATTCGCAAGGCAGAGAATACAGTGGCAAATGAGACAGACATGGTCTCTGACTACCTGATGTTTATATTCCACTGTGAAATGAAACAGTTTAAGTGATTTTTAATTATATTAACAATTATGCTGCTTCCAGACTTAGGGACTTAAGCTTTATTCTGCACACCTAGTATATGAGTTACATATTTAAAATGCAATTCCTGAGCATCCTCCCTAGAGTCTAACTCAACACTTTTGGAGAAGGATGTAGAAACAATGAGCATTTTTAACAAGTAACTTAGAGTTCCTGATATAAGAGTCCATTGAGAAATTCTAAGCTAGGGGATGAACTTATCTGGAGGCAAGATCAGAAGACCTTTATATATTTGGAAAAAATTAGCAAATGACATAATTATTTAAACATATTACAATAAAAAAATTCCTCCTTCAAAAAAATTTGTTTGGGTGACAAAGCAAATTTTAATCTTCCTTAGATGAAATATTACCGTATTTAACCCATCTCTGTTTAACACTAAGCTTGCTCAATGTAAACCTTTTAATGCTCTCAAAATATAAAGAAATCAAAAAACTCCTGCGTTTTCAGATGAAACACATGATAAGGCCAATTATCAGTGAAAGTCTACAAAACAAGAAATTGCATTTAAATGTACAATAGTATTTAAGATATTCTTTCTTGATACTACTATTTGAATAAAAAGAAAAACTAGGTTTAACGCAATCATGGCTACTAAAGTTAAATTAGAATAAAAAGCAAGTCTGCCAAGGAATTAACAATGATGAAAGTTCAAATCAATTCTACACAGCCTTCTGGGTGGCCTTTAACAGTGCCCAGGACAATCAACCCTAGAATCAAATTAAGGTCACTTCCCTGGTAGCTCAGACCATAAAGCAACTGCCTACAATATGGGAGACCGGGGTTCGATCCCTGGGTCGGGAAGATCTTCTGGAGGAGGAAATGGCAACCCACTCCAGTACTCTTGCCTGGAAAATCCCATGACTGGAGAAGCCTGGTAGCCTACAGTCCATGGGGTCACAAAGAGTTGGACACAACTGAGAGACTTCACTTTCATTTTCACTCCCAAGACATCCTTAAAATTGCTATTGGATACTTTGATTTTAGTGACTTTTCAAAATCTGCCTCCAGCTTTGATAAACAAGAAACTAACTCACTTTATCCGGATATCATCTAAAAATACTACAAGAACTTAACAGAAAAGCTCAAATCACTCATTTTGAAATTAAAAAGCCAGGTAGGTTTTTTAATTTAAATTTTGGTCAAAGCAGCTGTATTATGTATTAGCCCACAGTAAATCTTAGCCTCTAAATGGTAAAACAATTTAAGATAGCATCTCAAGTTGGGATTGGGATTCCTTACCTCGAACAAGTTGAGTGCACTTTACCACATGTGTATGTGGGTGATCAATTGTTAGTTCAAAGCCTAAAAAAAAGTAACTGGTTAAAAAGCTAGATACTCGGAATATTTTATACTGCTTTTATCTGAGTCATCATTGAAGGATTCTCTCATTTTCTGGTCCCAAAGCTGCCTATTGAGAGGCTGAGAGTCACATAAAGTATGCAGCACACTCTTAAGATTATCTTCAAAGGCACCACTCAGATAATAAAGTTAATGTCGTCTCAAGGTCCCTGAGCTATCAATAACATCTGAATACAAAGCATGTTCTTAGGGACAACAGAATATATGATTGGAAAAGAAGCAGTTACATAATGATTATCTCCAGAAGCTTAACTGTTAGAAAACATTTTTAAAACCTATTCCTCTCTTACCTCAGTCTTCTTCCTTTTCATCATCTCAATCATCATTAAGTACTGATCATTTTATCTAACTCTAAATGACCTTAACCAAAATGTAGTATGTCTATAAAAATTTTTGAAGAAGTTTCCTTTTGTGTATGTAAATAAAATTATCTAGTACGAGTAAAGAAATTCTAGGGAATTCCCTGGCGGTCCAGTGTTTAGGACTCCACACTTGCACTGCCAAGAGCCTGGCTTCAATCCCTGTCAGGGAACTAAGATCCCACAAGCTATGTGCAGCATGCCTAAAAAATAAAAATAAAGTCTGAGGCAAACTGATTAAAAAAAAGAAGAAAATTCTATTGCAAAATTTACTTGATGCAAATTATTCTACAAGCACAACTGATTCTTACAAGTTAGATTTTACAGGTTTCCACATTAAAATATTAATAAAAATGTACCCCACCAGAAAAATACCATTGTCCCCTAAAGTATGGTTACCTTGAATATAACTAATTTAAAGTAAAAATTGGCAGAAACTAATTTCAGAGACAAACTTTGAAGAATTGTGTGTATAGGTATATATGCAAAAACTACAGGCTGATCAGCAACTTTCCAACATAACTCATGAAATAACTCTCCTAGCTAAAGAGAAAAATGACAGCCCAAAAGAACAATTCAATTTAGCTTGAATTCTTCCATTTCCACTCTACTGTTTTGAACACTGATTACCAATTTTAAAAACAAATACTGTTATCTAAATATAAGGACAGACCATAAAAACTCCTGGAAGGAAAAAAGTTATTTAGATAGTTTCTGCCATTATTTACCAGAAAGTTAAAAACTGCCAGATCTTAGCAAGCAAATCATGAATCCTAGAATAAAAACAAGCAGAAAAACTCTGCTAATGGCTATCTCAAAGATCGGTGGTGCCTTCATTCTCTCTGTGGCAGGTTAAGCAATCTCTACAATGTGCAAAAACCTTCCCAAGAAATTCTCTTCCTGTTTCCTATTTTGCAAATTAGAAAAACATTATATTGCATACATATTTCTTTAATGGTTTAAAGGAAAATAACCTTACCTAAAGTCTGCAGAATTATGCTTTCTAGTATCACCAGATCTTGAACCTGCTGCAGGTAAGCCTGCAGGTGTAAGAAGACACATAAATTATTCCCTAAAAACACACAGTATATAACAAAGTGTAGACAGTTCTATCATTAACAATCTCCAAAGGAAACCAAAGCCACAAAAGGCAAGGGTGCAGTTATGAGGGAAAGTAGGAACTGAAATTAATCCTTATCCCTAACAGATTCTCCTTTAAAAAAAGAAACAGATAAATAAGCAAACAATGTCACTTTATTTATAAATGGCTACAGAATAAACACCGGATATCTGGTTCATTTTCAGACCGACATTTTAGATTATAATGTTCATATGATACAGATTAAAAACTTTTTTAAAATTAAAATATTAACATACCTTTTTTTAATATCCTCAAAACACACTGCTCAACCTTCCCACAGTACTGTACACACTCTCAAACATTTGATTCCTGTTAAACTTTCCTTTTAGAGTAATGCTAGATTTTTAAAATTCACAGAGGAGTTCACAAGAAAATGGAACAAACAAAATTCCTTCAGATTTGTACAGCCATTACTGTGGCCACTATCCATACATGGCCATCAAGCATCTGATATGTGCTATGAATGTAGACTACACAGTGAATTTTACAGACTTAGTTAAAAAATGTTAAAAAACACTTCATTAATAATGTTTTTGAATTGACTATATGCTGAAATGACTATATTTTGGGGTTAAACAAAATGCTATATAAAATATGTTTAATTTTAAATTTAAATAAAAATTTAAAATAAATGCTTAATGAAAAGCTTAATTTTAATTACATATGTGACTTCCCTTATATTTTTATTGGACAGATCTAGAGCTCTAGGAGAAATGAAGCTTGAGTCAAGAGTTAAGAGACTTATGTTGCTGCTAACTTTCCACTAAACTTTATGATCTTGAGTGAGTCCAATAAGGATGTAAACTATGGTAGCTCTCCTTTCCAAATAATGAAGAAAGTATCTTCTCCGAGTCACCTCATAAGACAGACTCAGGTGAGAAGTCATATAAATATACTTTAAAGAAAAAAAGTTGGGATTTTACTTCTTATTTCATTAAAATTTTGTTATTTGGTCAACTCTACAGACCAATGGCAGTCAGTAATCTCTAACATAAATAAAAGTACAGACCAACAACTTTTCAACAAAACTACTCTGATATAGCCCAGAGAGAAAATGAAGTCAAAACACTGCTATTCTAAACACTTCTCTCATATAACTAGGAGCTGTGATTCCACAATTCCACTTGTCTATTACGTACATCCACTGTAAAAGACTAATAATGTGGTACAGAAATCTGTAATTTTTCTTCAAACTCATCGCTCCCCAATCACTGAATTCTAAAGTCAGGAGTTTCCCTTCTTCATAAGGTCAAGGAAAGATGGAAGGAGGAGGCGGCGGGGGGAGGACGACGACACGGGACACTTTTGTAGACACAAAGGATAAAGGGGTAAAAGAATATATATCTGAATTATCATCAACAGTATTCTCCTAGCAGAAGAAGGGGAGATGAGCTTTAACTTTTACTTTAAATGATTCTTCAGTGTTTGAGCTCTTTTCTAAGTAATGAGCATACGTGAATTTCTTAAAAAGTTAAACACATAAGTGACAGGATCCATTTTTTAAAAATTCATTAACAAAAATAATGTTCTCCATAGAGATATTTCCAGTAAAAAGCTTGAAATTATCTTGAGAGATAATGGTTAAAATATATGTATGTACATGATGAAATTCTATATCAATATTTAAAGAAAGTAGAGAATTGATGTGGAAATATTTGACATACAGTGAGTGAAAAAAGTAGGTATAAAATATATACATGTACAGCTACTTATAGAAAAGCAGCTGGAAATAGTGGTTCATTTATGCATCTGTGGTACAAATTATACCTAGTTAATATATTTTCTTCTTTTTCTGCATTTTCCAATTTTACCAGAAAAAATATAATTAACTTTAGCCATAAAATTTCTATGACGTTTTTTAAGGAAAAAACAAACACTAAAAGTTCCTTTAACAGTCCACATTGAGATTTCCATAAATCAAAGTTGCAAAACTAAGTTATGATCAACATAAATTAAGAAAAACAGATGTATGCAATTAATCAACCCCCTACCTCACTCCTGGTATCAGGAAGTGATTCCTGTGGATGGAGACAAGTGTGTGCTACCTTGATGACGTGTTCCAATTTTTTTGGCTGCTCCTCTACTTTGGCTGCTAAAAATAAGGCTGCTGGAGCCACAGACTGGATGAAGAGAAAATAAATCATTTTTATTATTTATTTCTAGAGCAAGGTAGTTCTAAAAAAGAACTAAGTTTTAAACCAATTTCTTTGCTTACCTCAATTTTCATCACCTCTTGTTATGCTTTCCCTTCTATTTAAAATATCTTCTCCTCTCCTATCCATTAACCCAAGCCCACTTCCTAAATCAATCCTTCAATGAACTCTCATTAAAAGCTACTTTCAAGTAGCCACTAGAAGTAGACAGCTTTCTATTTAAAATGAGATTAAGTTTTATCAAAGCACTCTATATACTTTTTTTTTTAAGGATTATTAGGGAAATTAAAATAGAGGTAATCTTGTTCTGGAGAAGGAAATGGCAACCCACTCCAGTACTCATGCCTGGGAAATCCCATGGACAGAGGAGTCTGGCGGGCTCAGTCAGACACGACTTGGCGGTTTAACCACCACCACCAGTCTTGTTCAGACTTCAGAAGTAGGGTAGCAGGCCTCTGACCCGACTTCTGACCTTGCCCGGACTCTGCCTGGACTACATGTCTGCCTGGCAGGCACACCAACGTGTACTATCAAGTCAAGAGGCACTTTAGAGAAGAAAGGGAGTGGGACTTGAAATCTCTAAGCCCCTAAGGGCCTGGCCAGCCCAGTCCCACCTCCAGGATCTAAGAAGTCTTATGACTAACAAGATGAAATAAACAGCATTGTAAAGTTAAAGTAAAACCAGAGCTGCTTTTTTGCTAGCAAACTGATCAAGATATCAGTTTGCAGCATAGGACTATAATAAGAAGGAGCCCCCAAAACTGCAATCTGAAGTCTCACCCGTGGGGTAGATGTACCACCCTGATCTTTTCCAACTGGGCCTCCAGATTGCTGTTAACTTCTCACGGCTGTTCAAGTCTGGATGTAGGTTGTCAGCCCAATTTGGTGTTGTATACACTGTTACACTTCTATTTCTTTTCTTTTAATGACTGTATATTGAAATTAAGTCAAATAATCTTCTACAAAAAAATGAAATTGTTTATTTGTGTGTAACGAGTGGTTTCTTTTGTTAATGAATCCTTCGAACCTAAAACGAAAGTAAAACTTTTGGCAAAACATAAATCAGCGCTGTGAGCAGGATTCGTGAAGCAAAATGCCACTCTTTAAGAAGATATTAAGATTAATGAAGTCTTTATTTCCAGACGGGAAGACCTGCCTTACTTCTTGTTAGCTACTGAGTGGGACATAGCCACTGGATTGTGTGAGAATTGGGACCCGAAATTAAAGAGGGCTGAACCTTCAAAAGTTATTGAATGTTTGCGGCTCTTGCCAACTGACAATGAACAAAAATGTACTGTGACGGATCAGAGATGCTGGATCCTCTCTGCCTACTGTAAGGTTCAAGAAGCCAAATTAAAACTGGTTGAAAAGAAGTCAAAACTGGAGAAAGAATTATGCGACCTGCAAGGTGACTGTCCACGTTACAATGTCAAAAGTACATTTTAGCTGACCAAGTGTCCACTTTCCAGTTGGTAGCTGAAAAAGCTGCTGTAAAGACTGTACAAGCTAAATATTGAAAGGAGCATGGTAAGGTTAACAAAAAGAAGTTCATTCTCAGGAGATGACAGGGGAAAAGAAAGGAGACCAAGAGACATTTTAAATCTCCAACAGAAACTGAAACCGCTGCCTGTCTGGATATATGTGTATGTCTCAGTATTTGTCTTTGTCCTTGGATAACATTGCTAAAGTTAACTTGTAAATGAGCTCTATTTAACTGACTTAAAAGTAAGTGCTTACAAATTAAAGCTAAATATCTAGAAAACTGGCCAAGATAAATTCTAGGAAATGTTTGGTACCAAGACGATATCTGCTATTGAAGATGGTTTAAGTCTGTTGAGTTAATCAGTATAGACATGTCTTAAAAGAGTCATCATATAATAATCAGTAGAATACTTTCACTGTGTCTAAGCTTAATATAAGCTAAATAAAATCTTACTGATTCCTTTACAAATTTGTCAGCAAGGAAAGTAACTCAATGTGAAGAAATTTTTAAGGAAAGAAAATGTAAATGAGATAAGAGCTTTTAAATTAAATTTTGATTCAGTGGTAAAGAATCCACCTACCAAAGCAGGAGACGCGAATTCGACCTCTGGTCTGGAAGATCCCACATGCCACAGAGCAACTAAGCCTGTGCACCACAGCTATTGAGCCTGTGCTCTAGAGTCGGAATGGCAACTACTGAGCGCTAGCACTGCAACTACTGAAGCCAGCAGACTCTAGAGCCCTTGCTTCACAACAAGAGAAGCCACCACCATGAGAAGCCTGTGCACCGCAACTAGAGACTAGCCCCCACTCGCCACAACTAGATAAAGCCCACACAGCTATGAAAACCCAGCACAGCCAATAAATCAATAAATAAAATTATTAAATAAAGTCTTTTGTCATTATAGTTATGGCTTTATTCTGATGCCTTTGTAAAAACAATTAAAAGACACTTGCTCCTTGGAAGAATAGCTATGATAAACCTGGACAGTGTATTAAAAAGCAGAGACATCATTTTGCCAACAGAGGTCTGTATGGTCAAAGCTATGGTTTTTCCATAGTAGGTCAGGTGGTGCTAATGGTAAAGAATGCAGGAGACTGCCCACAATGCAGGAGACCTGGGTTCGATCCCTGGGTTGGGAAGATCCTCTGGAGAAGGGAATGGCAACGCACTCCAGTGTTCTTGCCTGGAGAATGCCATGGACAGAGCCGCCTGGTGAGCTACAGTCCATGGGGTTGCAGAGTTGGACACAACTGAATGACTAACACACACACACTATGGTTTTTCCAGTAGTCATATGCGGATGTGAGAGTTGGACCATAAAGAAGGCTGAGCGCCAAAGAACTGATGCTTTCGAACTGGTGTTGAAGAAAACTCTGCAGCGTCCTTTGGACAGCAAAATCAAACCAGTCAATCCTAAAGGAAATCAACCCTGAATATTCACTGGAAGGACTGATGCTAAAGCTGAAACTCCAATACTTTGTTTGGTCACTTGATGCAAAGAGCCAACTCACTGTAAAAGACCCTGATGCTGGGAAATTTTGACGGCAGGAGGAGAAGGATGAGACAGAGGATGAGGTGGTTGGATGGCATCACTGACTCAGTGGACATGAGTTTGAGCAAACTCAGGGAGATGGTGAAGGACAGGGAAGTCTGGCATGCTGCAGTCCCTGGGTGGCAAAGAGTCAGACATGACTTAGCGACTGAATAACAACAACTTTGTAAAAATATCACCTCTTCAACATTTACATAAATCTTTAAGATTAAATTAACTATTAGATAAACAAATTTTGTTATTAACAGTAAGCTGGTATCAGACTGGAACTTGGTTTTCTCTGTTAAGAGAACAGCTTTCTCGGGATGTGGCTTTTGATAACAAGACTATGTGAATTTCTTTGCCTTTAAGTGATTTATATTTGTTTTTAAAATCTTTTGCAACTTTGGTAAAGTAAGTAAATATTATTTCACAATCATCTATGAAGAATGTGGCACACACAGATAAGCTCATTTTGTTTCTACAAAAAATTAATCCTTCATGGTCAGACTTTTGCTATCCTGATGTTCTTAGAACATGGCAACTGTCTACTTCCAAATCAAGGAATTTAAAATGGGTAAACAAAGGCTATAAATCAAACAGTCAGGGCACGGGGAAATCCAAGATGGCTGCTTGACTTTTCCCAGCTCCAAGATAAACCTCATTTTTTGTTTGATGGGACTAAGCATTAACCCTGGCTAGAGGGTTAATGCCTTCACAAAAGAATTGTTTCACTTAATAGTAAATTCTAGTTTTGTTAACTGAGATCTATGTTGACCAAGACCCACTTCCCAGATAGCTCCTTGCTGTTGTATTTTATTGCTAAGACATTAAACTGAATTATTCTAAAGTTTATCTCAGTAATCTATCTTTGGATGGAGAGCAGATACCCTGTGAGATAAAATAACCTGTATCAATCAATGAACTATATGCCAACTGGAGCTTATGGAAAAAACAAAACAGAGCCCTTGGGTTTCTAGAACAGGAAATTTCCAGAGGCCAGAAAGAGTTATACTAAGAATAGTCAATTTGCTGAATTATACGCAGTATGTCAGGCTCTAAAACAAAAAATTTAACAGAATGTCATATTTATACAGATTCTTGGTCAGTAGCCAATGAACAGACTGGCCATTTGGCTTCCCATAAGCATAAAGAATAACTGGCAAATTCACTCCAAAGAGCTGTGGGGAAAGGAATTATGGTCTTACATTTGGGAAACTGTTCAAACTACTACTCTTTCAGTCTTTCATGTAGATGCTCACAGTGTCCCAAATTTTAGGAAACAATGGTGTAACTCCATTAGAGATGAACAAACCCAAATTCAAGCAGCAGAAGTTGATCCAGACTCCAGCAACTTAAAATGTTCAACTTCATGCGCACACCAAAAATGTGGCCATTTGGAAGAAACAACAACATACAGGTGGGCTCAGGACCGAGGTGTTTCTTTAACTATAGATCTCATTAAATTTGTTATTTTACAGCGTCCAATTTGTCAACAATTAAGCATAGAAGCTTGCCACAACCAGTAAAGGACAAGTGGCACATGGCAAGCTGCCTGGGCAAATACAGCAAACTGATTATATTGGTCCCTTAATTTGGGAAGAAGGATGCCAATGTACTGCTGTGGACACCTATTCTGGATATTTAGTGGTCATTCCCTTGGGGAAAGCCAATCAGAATAATACTATTAAAACACTGGAGATAATCAATCTATATTATAGTGTTCCACTTCAAATTCAGAGTGCCAATGGGTCACATTTTAAAGTAAGTTAATACAAGAGTTTGCCCAGGAACATAATGTACAATGGATTTTTCTGATTTTATTATCCTCAAGATGCTGGCTTGACTGAAAGAATGAATGATCTGCTTAAAGAGCAATTAATTAAACTTGGAGAGGGTTCTTATAAAAACTGAAGGACTAATTTAAATACTGCCCTCAATATTTTAAAT